TAAGGTTCTCTTCCAGGACTGTGATGTGCACTTGCTGTCGATCAATTGTTTCTTGGTGCCTTTTTTCCATATTACGCATAATGTGTACTGTTGAAATGTCTGGTGACTTCTGTATGCAAATCGTGACCATTCTGAGTTCCCAACAACAGGGTCACTGCTCCTTCCGGGAAGGGGGCTCTGGATATCTTCTCCCACATTGTCTGGTTCCTATTCCTTCGGCAAGTCAAGATATACCCCACTTGAATGCCTCCCCACGTTACGACCTGGACAACCCGGACATCATCAATTACTTTCCCTGGGAAGGATTGGCCGTCAGTCTAGTCCATATGTTGGACAGGCTATCCCCACCCTTTATCAAATCAATCCCTTGGAAAAGCATTTCATGAAAACCAGACCGGAATCCTCCCTCTCAGTCTGCCCCTGGCAAAATGTCTGTTGAAACTTAAAACCCTAAAGGGCCTAAACCCTGGGATGTAGCAGGCGAGTATTTCATGCGTTTCCACTGGGTCTCTAGAGGGCAGGCACTCCATTCTGTCCGTGTCTGTCTCTGTCTCTGCCAGTGCGAAGGCATGTGTCTGCCTTGCTGAATGACAAGCTCCTGCTATCTGCAAGCAGATTCTGTCTGGCTCTACCTGTCTGCCTCTCTGTAGTCTAGCAGCCACAGTTAGACTTTTCTGTCAGTCTCCGACCTTCTACAGTGGTTCTTTTCTACTTGGCTACAAGTCTTCTCTATGTGGGATCATGTAACTGGTGATGGATGCCATTCGACTCAACTAAGCACCATGGATGCCCGCTGAAGTAAAATTGTTGTTAACACTGTTAAGCGTTTGTGTCGGAGAAGATCAACGATGGAATGGCTGAGATACGTTGAGGGAATTAACACTTGAATGGTGCTTTTAGCTGGCCCATGATCAAGCCTACCGCCTGCTGAGCCCTTTCTTGATATGGTTGTTCCAGTTTCTCAGGGCTGGTGGGGAGCGGCACATGAGGTGGTGGAATAAGTATTTGGAGCATTTCACTCCCATGGTAGTGCGGATGATGCTGTTAGCTGGCATATGATCAAAACTTCCTCCCTACTGCCCTGCTTTGATATGGTTGTTTCAGTGCTTCGAAATGGCTGCTAGTTTGGAGTGGCGGTTGAGGTGGTGGGGTTAAGTAGAGCATTTCAGTGGCACATTGTGTGCAGTTTGCCTGATGGTGGGCATAAGGCTTCTTTGCCTGAATGCAGGTTAGGGAAGTTCTCTTTTCGTGAAGCGGAGGCTGTGAGGAGACATGCTTCTACTGCTGCAAGGAATGCTGTCATGGCCTTGAAGCTGTTTATCATGCAGAGGCGCCTGATGGAGGTACTGCCCTGGTTGGGCTATTGGAATGGATCTCTTGCAAGGATATGGATGGTTGTGAGAATCAAAGGGCAAACTGCTTATCGATGAAAGTCAGAAAGCAGCTTATGGTGACTACCCATTTGAGGATTCCCTAAGGCATACTTTGCAGTCCCCTTTTTCTTTTCATGCACTTGAACATCTGTTTGTTCAACTTCACTGTTTATTCAATCAGAAATGTGGGAGTGGATCTGAAGCGGTGGAACTGTGGAACATGATCGCCATGTGTTTGCCTCCTGCATTGTTGATGTCATTTGCCATCCAGGTGATCTGTGATGCATGTCCTGAACGGAATGAAAACTTTGACTCCTACATCCCTGAGAGTGGGTGCAGTGGAAGTGTTAGCTCCCATCAAGAGCCTCACAACCGTTAACAAGCTGCAATGGACACCATTGTATGATTTTTTGAAGGCAGGCAAATCTGTTACTCTCCAGCGGTGCAACTTCTTGCCTGATTTGCACACCTTGCACAGGCCATGTTGGGCACTTTGTTGACTAGTATGGCCAAAATGCCAAGCTTTTCTTGTTGTCAAGAGCCATGCCTGACTGAGTTACATATGTGAAGCTAGGAAAGGTGGATGATTATTGTCTGCTGTTTATCTAACCTGCCATGCCAATGTTGTAGTAGCTGTACCTTTGCTAAATATTCATATACTGATGAACATATGGATTGGCTCCACTTGTATTCGTTGCATGGTCAGTCCACCGGGTCATTGACAAGCGAGCATTAGGGAAAGCAGCCTAGGGCCGGCTGTCCAAACGGGAGCTCAGAACCCCTTGTAGTTTCCACCAGCATAATGGGCAGGCCCCACTAAGGGATGCCTTTATGTAGATTTTCAAATCCAATGCCTGATAGTGGAAGTTGTTTTTTACCGTGTGACTGACCGTCAGATTTTCCCATAAAGACCTAGACATAGCCCAGTGGGGAAACTGCACCACTAGGACAGCCAATTACCTATTAGATTTCAACTCTCTTACTAAGAATCACACCATGCATTGTGAATGTGTACGAACCCTCCGTACTCTGTGAGAAAAATGGCTGCGCAGATTTGGTCTGAGATTCTGAGAAAACTGTTATTCCAGAGTTGTACGTGTTTATGTCATTGGTGAACTTTGGTGGCAATTTTCTCGAGTTTTCTGCCTCCATGCATGTGATTGCTACCTTGTGTACGTGTTCTGATCCAAGTGCCGGAGAGCGTCTTCCTGCAAAGTTGGGAACTTTGAGGAATATGACTGAAATTTGGCCAGGTGGACTGAATGGAAGTCTGGACAAACGCACACACAAAAATTTGGATAGTACAGGGACATGAAGTTGGCTGGTGGGGTTTCACAGCACGTCTGTGGGTGGACTGCTACTAGTAGGCCTCATTGACTTCAGTCTGGCACTGGATGTATCTGGACACATTAGAGGTAGGATACGTCTGATATGGGGGTAGGATATCAGACTTAGTTTAGGAGTCATGATTTTCGCACCGAAGAGAAGTGAATCGGCACCTCTCACTCTCTCGCTCTCTCTATCTCTCACTCTTTACTCTCTCTCTCTCTCTCTCTCAGTCTCTCACTCCCTCTCACTCTCTCTCACTCCTCACTCCCTCTCTCTCTCTCTCACGCTCTCGCACCCTCTCTCACCCTCTCTCACTCTCTCTCACTCTCTCTCACTCTTTCTCACTATCTCTCCTATCCCTCTCTCTGTCTCTCACTCTCTCTCTCACTCTCTCTCTCACTCTCTCTCTCTCCTCTCTCTCCTCTCTCTCCCATCTCTCCTATCTCTCCTATCTCTCCTCTCTCTCCTCTCTCCTCTCTCCTCTCTCCTCTCTCTGCTCTCTCTGCTCTCTCTGCTCTCTCTCCTCTCTCTCCTGTCTCTCCTCTCTCTCCTCTCTCTCCTCCCTCTCCTATCTCTCCTATCTCTCCTATCTCTAAGGTATAGCTTGGCTGCCACCCTTTCTCTCTTCCCCTCTCGCTCTCTCAATTACCATCTTCCCCTGAATATAGTGGCACCATTGTTGCTGTATTCGGGGCTATCTGAGGAAGGTACAGTTGGAGTTACCCCACTTTTACTTGGGGCAAGGTTGCTGCAAAAAAGAAGTTCAGGGGGAACAAGCAGAGAGCATGATGGAGATAACCTGGGACTGGACCGTACGAGGATTGCAAAGGATGAAACGAACAAAGAATCTTGTTGGCGGCATTGATTAAAAGGGCCTTTACCGGATTCAGACCCTGACTGACGAGTGCAGCTTAGTGGGGTCACTCGCCCAGAGCCCAACTCGTGAAAGCAGATCAAAGGGCATGTTCTCTGGGTCAAAAGTAACATCCTAGCTAAAGTAAAAGTCAATGTCAAAGGTCACAGTTGTGCCCCTGGACGAACAGTCGCAATATTTAAATGTGGGAGTCACATCTGTTCATCCAGGGGGTGTGCAGCTTATGTCTGTTCATGCAAGAGATGTGTCTGTTCGTGCAGTAAGTGTGTCTGTTCGTGCAGTAAGTGTGTCTGTTCGTGCAGTAAGTGTGTCTGTTCGAGCAGTAGGTGTGTCTGTTCAAAAGAAGTCAAAAGATAAAGTCCCAGTCAAGGTTCGAGTCAAAGGGAGAGTCTAGATACAGACTGAAAGTCCGAAATTAAGGCCTGAAGGCCGCAGCAGCAGTGACCCCTGAAGATAAGGGTCTGGGACACACTCTACAGAGGCTGGGACTGGGAAAGGACGCAAGACAGACTGAATTCAGACCTCGCAAGGGGAGGCCAGAACTATAAAGAACGAGGCAGCCTCCCCACAAGGGAGATTTCCCATTGGCATTGATGCGTGGAAGTGCTGAGGCACTTGTGCGCTATAGTGCAGGGAGGAGCGCTGGCTGAGAGAGGGCTGCGCCAGAAGGAAGGAGGGCTGGGCGCTGGCTGCAGGGAAGCCATAGCTGCACCAGCTTGTGTTAGTAGTAGTAGAAGGGTTAGTGGTAGGACTTCAGTTAGTAGCATTCAGAGTAGATTCTCGTAGACAGGGAGTGAGCATGCATAGTGAGACAAGGGAACCAGGACAAAGATCTTGAGAGAGAAGAAGGAGAGAGGGAAGACAGGTTATGACATTGGATATGGTGGATACTTACCTGTTGGGCAGACGCTGGCTGAGCCAGGCCCTGTGTGTATGATTGAACGAGGGAGAGACTTGAGTTCGAGATACTTTGTATAACGTGATTTTTGATAATATAAGCTGCGCTATCTGGTTCCCATCTCATCTCGACCTGGTTTTGTGTGAAGCTACTCAATCTGTGTGATGACACTTGTGCATGGGAAATGATACACTCCAGCAAGTTGTGAACAGTCAGGTTCCTTGCATGATTGCCTCTTCGCAAGAGGGATGGATTTTTTATTGTTCGAAAGGCCTTTAAGAATATGTGATATGTAATTATGCCCCTTAGAAAGGAACAGGTTCTCCAGGACAGGGAAGTTTCTGAAGAAGAAAAGAGTTACAAATTTTTCAAAGCACAATGTATATACTGAAGAAGCACAGTACAATGAAATTGAATGAATACATGTGATGCATAATGTATGCACACCTGCATAGGACTGTAATCATCGTTTATATTTCGCTGACATGGTGACTGACCTCCCTTTGTGCATGTGCGAATTCAACAGTTTGACTTGGACTCCTTCAAACATATGCTGAGATCTGGGAGTCTGCATAGAGACGAACTCAAGTGGCTATCGTCTGTGCTTTATAACTTGGGTGTGATGCTTTTCAACGGCAGAAAACTTGAAATGGTAAGGATACATGTTTGGCGCTTCTGCAACTGCTTTTCCCATCATTCAGAGAAATCCAGCATTCTCTTTTCCCTGGGCTTGTGCACTCTGTGGCTTCAAAAAAGTTTAGTCAGCGCGAAGGCCCACAATCTGTGCACTCTTTGGTTCGACAGAGGTGCAGCCAACATGGAAGCCCGCAATACCACCTCCCTGTGCTTGTTACCGCTCTTTTCCCTTCAGCGGAAATGAGGTATCTGACCTGTACGAGCCAGCAGGCTAACGTGTTCTGCCTAACATAACGCCACACCATCATGAACATTACAATTGCTGTTCCCGTCCAGATACATAAGTGTTGAGGGTGCCTTGTGTTCGGGGGGGAAGACAGTATTACGTTAATCTGAGAGCTATGAACATTTCTGAAGTGCTGACGCTTTTTATCTGAGAGCTAGTGGGTTTAGCACCCATTTCAAAGTCCTTGTGTGCAGGTACTGACTTTTTTTCGGTTTCTGCACTTTGACTTTGCCTCCTGACACAGTACCAAATCCCCTTGAAGCTCTCATACGAGGCTGCCTGCGCACGTGTCAAGTCTCTGAATTTTGAAATTCGGAAGCTGAGTAATAAAGCTTCTGGACACAAGGCCCTAGTGGTGGAGAAAACACTGGCCATCAAGGATGCCTGTCATCGATGCAGAGTGCTTACGGACTGTATTGGGAGCGAAGATGGCTGTGGGAAGAATGATAATCACACTCATCTGCTCCTGGAAGCCATCATCTGCTTCGCAGCCGAGGACTGCAGCCAACAGGAAAGTGCTTCTGTGCTACACGAGGTCCGCATGCTGGTCGGGCAACTAGTGAAGGTTTGTGTCCCTCTGTAACCAGCCTATCTTTCTTGCTGCTTTTTTTTTTTTTTTTTTTTTTTTCCCGAAAACAGAACATTTCCTTAAAGGTCATGGCTAGACTCTATTTTGGAGAAATCATAACCAACCTTTCTTCAGCGAAGTGACAGGATAAATTGCCGCTTGACTGACCAGATCTGGTCAAATTCCGTTCGGTTTGACCAAGGAAAATACTGTTTGACGGAAACTTTAACCAGGTCTACAAGAGGAAGATGAAGAGAAGGGGTTGAGGAGTAGATGACTGTGATAGTCATGGCTGTGGTCATTGGTAATATAATTGCCATGATATACCCTTTCTTGCCCTGAGGTTTCCAACTCTCCGGTCATGCTGCTTTTCTTCAGGATCTCTATGTTTTGTTGAGATGGTGCATATCAGGGAAGCATTTCCAGGCATCCTCCTTTCCTCTACTAGGACTGAAGAGGAATAAGAGAAGCACTGGTTCTGAGAGACGGGAATGTGTCTTTGCTGAAAGAGACAGTCAGAGGAGCGGTAGGAGGACAAGGAGGCATGGATGAGGAGGGTGCTGATGGGCGCCATACAGCCTTGGGAGATGCAGGAGTAGGTGAGGGCAGGCGATGCACTCACATGGGGGCCATATAGGATGGCGAAGAGGGTGGTTCAGCAACATGGAAATGCCTATTGACACTGACTGAAATCAGCCGACGGAGGAGAGAGCAGAAGTAATATGGACGTGAGATGGCATGAGGAGGTGAAGGCAGGGKRTGTACTTACAATGATGGGGGGGAAAGAGAACCAGGAGGAGAAGGAACATCACGAAGAGAACGGGGAGGGAGGGCAAACGAGKGTGGTTCAGCAAAATGGAAATGTCTATTGACACTGACTGAAATCAGCCGACGGAGGAGAGGGCAGAAGTTACATGGATGTGAGATGGCATGAGGAGGTGAAGGCAGGGGATGTACTTAAATGATGGTGGGGAAAGAGAACCAGGAGGAGCAGGAACATCACGAGAGAACGGGGAGGGAGGGCAAACAAGGTAGTCGCATTCATCTGCACAGTCATGGAAATTCCTTATCCAGACCGCAGTCAGGAAGGAGAGGAGGAGGGAGAGCAGGAAAGAAAGAAGGTGGTGTACTCATGTTGGGCTGACACTTAAGTTACCCCTCAGGTTGGACAATAACCAAACAAGGCCGTGTACTCCTGTTAGGCCGACGATTAAATTGGCCCACAGGTTGTACACTAACCAAACGGTGTAATTGCTGATGTTTGAAGGTGTGTTTGCGATCTTTGATCCTGCATACCCATATTACTGGATTGCAATCAAGCTCTTGATTTTGTTTCACTGTTATAGAAGTGTGACCCTTGTTACCAGCTGCTGTTGAATTTTCTTCAGTGAACGCTTCTGTTGGATCATCGTGAGATTCCCCCCTTTGGAATGCGGTAGTCCAGAACACTTTTTGTGCGAATCTTACTTTAACTGTCATGTCTGCTGAAGTTACACGGAACCATGCGTGTTTTCTTACTTAGTGCAAGGAAAATGAGCAATAGCGAAATGAGTCAAATGACAGAATTCCAGATTGCAAAATCACACTGAAAAGCCAGATAGTCAACAGCTGCCCAGAAATCAGAAATGCACTGATGTCACACCAAAGGAGAACCAAGCAGTGAACACATCAATGCATACTCTCGCCACCACCAACAATGCAATTGAAGCCCTTCCTCCTATTGGCACTAAGCGCCCAGACTATGATCCTACAGCTACCCTACTAGCCTACAAAATGACGAAGCAACCGGTTGACGTCAGCAGCGGCAACCAACGTACGTGCATATGTCGACCTTGCAGACCTCTGCGAAGACCAGGTACGTGCCCTCCCATCACTCTCCACGCGCCATCCTTCTTCTCACCCTTGACTTCTCCTCCACGCTCCTCTCTCACCGCCTAACCCCGCTGACCGCCCAAGCTCAGCCTGGCTATGGAGGGCTGAGTTATGGTGCTGCCTTCTTGCAGCGCCCTTCTCACAAGCGACCACACGTACTTCTTCTTGCACCTGCGCCAGCCAGCCGTGCGCAAGCACCCGCTCCAGCAGCGCTGCCGCTCACTTGTCCAAGTGCCCGAATCCTGACTCTCGGCCAGGCACTTTGCTATATATGCAAAGCGGCCTGGCCCAATAGCAGCCTGGCTTGGCCTCGTGTGTGCCCAGTGGCCTCACGTTGGGCCAAAGTGTCTGCGCCCAGACCCGTTCAGACAGTTTGGTTGGGCGTGCTCAACCAAAATGTGCGGTGTTCCCTGCCTCCCCTGAGTTCTTGGAAGAGCCTAGAAGGCTCACAAATATTTTCGATTCTCACAAGCAGGGCGGATGTAACCAACTGGTACGTGGTAACTGTCTGGCGCCCACCAAGACTTGCGAAATTGACGAAGTCAGGCCTCATTGAGATTCAGGGGGCCGCCTTCACTTAGGGAGGGCACATGCTTGCTTATCGTGTCCTTATGCAGGTATGCCGAGGGTTCAAATCCCCGCACTAAGTACTTCTTTCTCCTTTGGAGGGTAGCAGCTGTGTAAGGTGTTCCTCTATTGCCGAGGGTTCAAATCCTCACACTAAGTACTTGTTACTTCTTTGGAGGGTAGCAGCTGTGTAAGGTGTTCCTCTATTCTTTGAGATGAGGCATTTATCAGCCTGGCCTTCTTCTCGTATATCTTGGAAGAAGCGGTCCCAGTGTGACGCTCCCCCCGGGCCCAGGCAAAAACGGGCGTGGAGTTCCGCGCTTGGTGCCATGGGGGACAGGAGGGAAACGGGAGGTGCCGAACGGGAGTTGCATGGCGACAGCGGCCGGGACCTTGCCAGCGACAAGGGGCCTTGCTCAGCTACCCTGCTATGTGCAAAATGAGCGTGAATCCTCTGACAGAACATGAAAAGATACGTTGCCAGGCGTCGCCGCGGGCAAAATCAGGAAGCTGTTGCGAGCACATGCATACAAGACAAAAGATATCCCAATGTATCTTTCCATGTTCTATGGGATGATTCAGGCTCATTTTGCACATTTGGAAAGTAGTTGAGTCGGGCCCGTTGCTGCTGGCAAGGTCCCGGCCGCTGTTGCCATGCAACAGCTGGCATGCTGGCTTCCCGTTGGGCCTTGCTTCACTACTCTCCTTATTATCCACAAATGTTAGGACCTGCCAAACACGGACTGAGACACACAGCTGATTTCTGAGTTTTGCCAATGGAATGCATGCCTTGCCGAGTTTTCTAAGTCTGAGTGTGTGTGTGCTTGCTGGTCTGCATGCCTGTCTGAGTGCTTGTCGGTTTGAGTGTGTGTGTGACCCACGAGGGTACTTGCCCGTGTGGAAGGCCCAAAGGGCCGTTACTTAGCTGTGGCCGTGGCATTGAGGGTTGCAGGAGGGAAAACGCTCAAGTGGTGGGGAAGAGGCCCGCAACACTTGAAGCAGCGAAAAAACACTCAAGTAGCAGGTAGGACGGTACCACACCAGGTAGAGGTAGATGTGTGCCGGGTACTCGAGGGCGAGCAGAAGAAGACAGAGTTGGCATTTTTAGAGGCCCAGTAGTTGTAGGCTAGGTCTAGGAAGGTGACAGTCCAAATAGTCTGAGTCTAGGGCCTGTACGGTGTCTGCAATGATGTTTCCCTCCAAAAGGGAGGAGGTACCGGTTACTTGGAGGCCGCGCGGCCTAGGAAACCGCTCGCCAAGAGGCAAGCAGGCCACTACATCTCCAGGAGCGAAGTGCTCCTCCTCGTTGTCGGTGTGCAAGTCTGACGACACACTGGTTGGAGTGCTGGCTGGAGCAGCGCGAGCATCCGAGCTGCGCTGCTGGGGAGGAGCAAGGACAGGAGGAGGAAGAAGACCAGTACTAGGAAGGAGCGCCAGAAGTAATTATCTGGCTATGGAGGATGTCATCTTCATCACCTTGGTGAGCGCTGCATCTGGAAGGCCCCTGTTGGGGTAGAGCTCCACCAAGAAGCTTCGAGGCAGAGTCAGGCATGGCGGCCTCAGCTAGAGCAGCCATAGCTGCTTTGTGTTGTCCTTTGCACAGCAGGGCAGTGGCCTGGTAGTCCGCCATAGCCTCGGCCTTGGAGGAAGGAGGAAGAAGGGCGGCCATGGCTATGGTGGACCTCATGTGATACCTGCATTAGAAGAGGGATTCGGATATTGATTCTGGTTCAACCATTCAACATTATTATTATTATTTCTTGTTTGAATAAGAGGGGAGGAGATAAGGAGGAGGAGAGTGGTTGTTGAAGGAGAAGGGGATTCTCATTGGTGTTTGTTGGTGTGCATCTTCTTCTTCTTCTTCTTTCTTTCTTCTTCTTCTTTCACTCTCTCTGCTCTCAAGTTCATTCATTTATTTTTGCAATTGACGGCATTGTACTTTCTGATGAATGTGTACTTCGAAATTGGCCAGGATCATAGCACAAACGACGAAAAATATGGCAATGTATCTTAAACTATCTTTCCATGTTCTGGCGGAGGATTGTCTTCTCGGTCTAGCTTCTGTCGTGACGCTGCTCCCGAGGACGCAAAAGACGAAACATGGTGCGATGTATCTTTCCATATTCTAAATTCTAATCCAAGATCCGTTTGCGTTTGTTTTGGGGTTTCCCTAGGGCCTCGCTGCACTACTCTCCACATGCATAAAAGACAAAAAATATGGCGGTGTATCTTTCCACGTTCCAGCGGAAGATTGATTCTCATTTTGCACATTTGGACAGTAGTGCAGCGAGGCACTTGGTCTGGCGGTGGCCCTGATGCTTTTTTTTTTCTTTTTTTTTCTTTTTTTTTCCATGCTAATTTTCTCTGTATCGTTCCTCGCTGCACTGCTCACTATTACTGGGCATCTCTGTTTGACGAAATATACACAAAAGATAGAAGTGTTGCTGTATATTTCCATGTTCTGGCGTTAGATTCGCTCTCTTTTTTTCTTTTTTTCTTTTTGCGTTTTTTTTTGGTGGGGGGTTTCGTCTGCGGGGTCCACTTGTTCCAAAAAAGGAATTTGCCTTTTATCACTTTTCAACTTTTGATAATTTGATGCCTATTTTTCATTCAGGTCTGTACTGATGCAGATGAACATGTTGATTCCTCTGCATGAGCTGTTGCAGATGAACATACGATCAAAGTCTGAAGAGTTTGAGCTGGTGGGACCAACATTCCATCATGCCCTTCTCAATTCGGCGATTAGCTTGCAGAATGTTGCTGCTCTTCTGGAAGAGGCAAGGTCATCTATTCTTTAACCACCACTACCTCCAAGCGTCGTTTTCCCGATGCTTGATTTTGCCTGCTTCTGGACTAACGAACTGTTGTGTGGGTTGGGGATCGCAGTGGCAGGAGAGCCGTTTAACCGAGCCCTCATTTTTCACCTCAATTTATAAGAAAACCATAAGGCCCCCGAAACCCTAATTTCAGGATCATTCGTGGTTACTCAGGGCCGAAAAGTGGGGGTCCCCGTTAACCGCTTGTGAGTGGCAGTCGTATCCGTTGCATTTGGGCCAGAATGTTTTAAGCAGGCAACAAATTTTCCGATTTATTCCCTCGTATTTTTCCCTTGTGCGACGGGGCATGTTTTGTTTCAATTTTTTTGTTGAAGGTGATGACGCTGATGAGAGCGAAATACTGCCAAAGTAGTGGCACTCAGAATATTAGCCGGTGTAACATGAACGTGGTCCCATGTTGACCAATGCTGTGCCACAATAGTTACCCCCCCCTCCCACTCTTTCATGAATTGCTCAGTCCTGCTGTAATTCTCCACTACCAACATTTGCCAGCGCAGCGCCCACAGTGCGGGCTGCTTGGCTGACGCTCACACGAAAAGGAAGAGGGAGGACCTAAGAGAACTAACCAAACAAGTGAAAACGAAATGAATCTGGCTAGATTCATTAGAAAATGGCCCCTGCTCTGTGTGTGTGTGTGTGTGTGTGTGTGTGTGTGTGTGTGTGTGTGTGTGTGTGTGTGTGTGTGAGAGGGAGATAATTTGGCAACGTTTTTGCACTGGATGAAGTTCAGAAACGTGGCTGGATTAATTTGAAAATAGCCGCTGCTCTCTCTCTCTCTCTTTCTGTCTCTCCCACTGTCCCTCTTTCCCTCTCTGCTCTCACTCTATGTCTCTCTTTCTCTACCTCTGTGCTATGGCCATGACGGGAAGAATTTGCCCACATTGTTTTAGCTGACTGAAGCACAGGAACCAGGTCAGATACACTCTGAAATGGCCCCTCACTCTCTCTCTGTCTCTCTCTCTCCCTCTCTC